TCTCTGGCAGCAAACACCTTCACTATTACAGGCCACGCTGAGACAAAGCAGCTGACAGAAATGCATCCTAGCACACTAAACCAACTTGGAGCAGACAGTCTGACTAGTTTAAGGATACCATCTGAAGCTCTGCCCAAACAATCTGTGGATGGAAAAGCACCACTTTGCTAACGGAGAGGATGATGATGATGAAATCACGTATCTGGTGGAGAATCCTGATGAGGCTTCTAAGAACGAGGCAAATTGAAGTGAGAAGACTTCTGAAGAAGGTGACACTTGTAGAAGTCACAGGAATTGCTATTTTATATTATGACTGATTTTTAAAATTCTTTTGCTTATGGATCTGATAAAATCTAGATCTCTAATATTTTTAAACCCAGACTGCCTGGACACTGCAGCATTTTTTTTCTGTTTTTCCTTAAAAACAATTCATTCTTTACAGCAAATTAAACAGAAGAAGCCTGGGAATAAAGTTTAGAAAGAGGTTAATAAAATTCTTTGCCTAGTTAAAAAAATGATATCTTAAGATATTCTATAATTATAGACATCTGGGGCAAATGTTTTGTGTATTCACTGGGGTAGGAGAAATTAGAGTATTTCTAAATATTGCTCAAATTAGATTGTAGAAAGCATATACCCAAATGTACCTTATTTATGATGATGAACATTCATTTTTATATAATTATAATTTCATGCATGTACCCACATATTAAAGGAAATACAAGAACATTTATCAGCTATTTTATAAAAGCCAACCTTTAACAATAATACACATACCTTTATCATAAGCATTATTATATTCTTACAAACAGTATTGTATAATGCTTTATTTTTATTTTGCTCAATAATGTCAATTTAAGCACTAAAATTAAAGTAACACAGTGACTATAAGTCTCAGAACAGTATAACTTCTCTATAAAAGAGGTCATATTTGACTGTATTTTTCACTGTGAACCTGAAAACCTTAAGACAACTGCAGCTTACTCAGTATTTCTATTTTTCTTTTTTTTTAATTTTTTTTAAAATTTATTTTATATAACAAAGTCCATTTTATTGAAAACAAACATTTATAGACAATATTTGGGAATTTGGGCGTTGTTCTTTCCAAACTACTTCCTACTGGTAAGGGGCGCTGTCATGGGGGATTCTAAGAAGATGCAGAAATCCTGGCTGTAGTCTGTAAGGCTGCTTTGTCCAGCTGTTTTGAATGTAGGATCACCTGGTACTGTTTCAGGCGGTCTGGCTTGATCAAACCACATTAGCCGGGAAGGAATCAACATCATTTCATTTTCTGTGGAAACAAAAATAGAAATCATTTTCCCCAGTAACTTGTCCTTGAACTTAAATTTTAGAGTCAAAGCATTTTTTTTTTAATTTCATTTATTATTTTACATGTCTATCCCAGTTCCCTCTCCCTCCCTCCCTCCCTCCCTCTCTCCCCCCTTTTTCCCTCCCTTTCACCCTCTCTGCCCTCTCACATGCACTCTAAACACCCTCCCCTCCCATCCCCTCAACCCAATTCCATATGTAGGGGAATGCCATCCAGTTGGGGTCATGTAGATCTGACAGGTCATGTGAAGTAGGGACTAGGGCTTTTCTCCTGTCTCTAGATTAAGGGAGTTATCCCTCCATGGTGGATGTTTTCACAAAGTCCTTTTGTGCACCAGGGATACATACTGGCTCCACTGTCTGACCCATATACAGGGAGGCCTGAGTCAGTCCCATGCTGGCTTCCCAGCTATCAGTCTAGTGGCCGTTAGCTCCTCCTTGTTCAGGTAAGCTGTCTGTATGTGTTTCTGCTGCCTGGTCTTGTCCTCTCCATCTGCATCTGGGTCTAGTTCCACTCAGTGTTTATGTATGGGTGCTTGCTCCTATTTCCAACAGGCATTAGATGAGGGCTCCATGGATAAGTTAGTTGTTGATCTCACTCTCCAGGAAGGGCATTTATGATAGCCTTTCCATGGAAGCTCAAATTGTTAGTTGGGAGCAGTCTTGTAGTTCTCTAGACCTTTCTTTGTGTTCAATTTAATCTTCAAACAAATATTGGCTCCCTCTTTTATTCTCTCTCTCCCTCTCCTCTTGTCTATTCCCCTGGACTGAATCTTCCTAGTCCCATGTACTTTCCTATCCTCCCCTTCTCTTACTCATAGTTCCCTCTCCACTCAGTGCCCCCCCCACTGCCCATATGCTCAGGAGATATTGTCCCTTTACCCTTCTGTGAGGGACCTTATATGAATCTCTTAGAATCCTCCTTGTAACCTAGTTCCTCTGGTGGTGTGAATTATAGGCTGGTGATCCTTTGCTCTATGTCTAAAATCCATATATGATTGAGTACATACCATGTTCTGGAACATAAAATAACTCTTCAGTCTCATCTAAATAATTTTTAAGTGATTACAGCTTTGGTTTAATTAATTTTTAAATGTTTGTATTCATTAGAAACATATGGGCTTAAATTGTTTTAAGAAAAGTGACATTATGAGATCACTAGGGATGAGAGATTTTAACATATAAAGGCTTTAATAATTCTGTTCTGGACATTTGCGGTCTCATCACTATTGTTTTAATTCTCTATCAGAGCCTCTGATATTGCTCCATAAGGAATAGTAAAACAAAAATAAATAAATAAATCAGGCACCAAAACAAAAATAGCCATTGTTTTTTAAAACCTGCCTAGTTTGGGAACTATTTTAAACTTGCTGCACTACTTTGATACTCAAAACTATAGTTCTCACTGATGGGATGCTTAGTGTTCTCTAAACTCAGGTTTTTAGATAAGTTATATAACACAAATAAAATAGACTACAATTCCAAATGAATCTGTGAGCTATACATGAATAGGCTATCTAATTTTAATGTTGAAATTTTTGTTCATTTGAAAATCAAAGAGCTCAGACTAGATTTTATTAAAAAATGATAGCTAAAGTATTGACCCTTTAATATGATTCCTCATGCTGTGTTGACACCAACTATAAAATTACTTTTGCTGTTACTTCATAACTGTAATTAATTTTGCTATTGTTATGAATTTCAAGGTAAATCTTTAATATGTAGGATATATCATATTCAACACTCAAAGGGATTGTGACCCTCACAGTTCCAGAACCAGTGAGCTAGCATATGTAAATGGACACTAATGAGAATTCTGTCCACCTGTGAGCCTGGAGCCCTTTAGTTTATAAATAAAATAATAATTCTACTACATCCTTTTTCTTACAGCGTTTCATCCTGTATGGTCCTACTTAATTAGTTTTCTGTAGCAGTGTTTAAGTCCTATTAAAGTTAGGAACATTTTCTTGACTACTTCTTTGATTGTGTTAAATTTTCTGAATGTGCTTCCACAGGTAATTTTGTTATAATTTAAATTCTTTTTATTGACATCAGAAATAGCTATTGAACTGTCATTTCTTTCTTTATGCAGTTGTCTTAAACTGAGAACAGCTTAAAATTAGAATAAATTGAAATGTTGACTGTTGCATAAGAAATACACAGTATTCTCAGAAAGAATATGTTAGGAACGTTATCTACGTTTTTAAAAAAATATTCTAGAAGTCATTTTTTTTTTCAACAATCCCAATGATTTATTTTGGCAACATTGCAAAGAACTTGACACCTGTCACAAAAATCATAAGTTTTAAGGGAATTATTATCTAGTCTTATTATACTGCATCTATCCTTACATTGATCATTCTACTAAACCTTAGAACATTTAGTATTATGTTCCATAGGTTATTTATTTCATGTGTTATTTGTCTGCTAAGGTAACAGAATTTGTATATGTTATATCGTTAATGCAAAGGGAATCTATGGATTGAAACCATTTTATGCATCCATAGAAGTTGCTCAACTGTCACATAAACTGATATGTGTCCTTTTAAAAACACACTTATTGAGTGTCACTTTTTTATTACTGAAGGAAGTAGTGTATGTGCCAACTCATTAGCCATGATTAAATGAATTAAAATAATAAAAATCACTATCACCTAAAAATGAAATTTATGTTTGCCAAAGGAAAAAAATAACATGAGGATCAAAGTTTTAAAAATCAGTGGTGAAATTCAGCAGCATGGGTTTGAGCAAGAGAAAGCCCTTGATTGAAAAAAGTAAGGTGGAGTTAGTTGTCCAACAGGATTTAGTGGTCCCATTGCCTACAGCCCTGTGTTTATTATGGAAGAGGTAAACCAACAGTACTTGAACACAACTAATGATGTTTTTCTTTGCAGATAGGACTTGGGAAGTTCACTTCATGCTTCATTTTCTTAACAGACAGTCACAGGTTTTGACATTGTCTCTTTGAAGGGTGAATAGGGCATAATGCTTCTCCTTGATGCTACACTCCCTGTTTGATGTCCTTCATACGTTTGAAGAAACAGTGAAAAAAAAATTGTTCCAAGAAAGCTTTTAAAATGGCAACTAAGACAAAACCCACATACACAAAATATCACATCTTTGAGGATATGTATTTGTGTGTATGCTAATGGGTGGTACTGTTGTACAACATACAAATCTATTCTTCAAAGCAGTATCAGTGGGGAGCTCTCTGTTGAAAACTGTTTAGCATATTAAGATACCTTAAGTGCTTTAAAGCAGTTTTACTGAGTTAAATACATGTTGAATGTTAACATGCTTTAGGAGAGGGGACAAGTCTTCCTCTTTCCTCAATGAGTCCAAATTAGTGAGATTTTACTATATATTTAATCCCAGTGCTGTTGCATTTACCTGTAAAGGAGTAATTTATGTTACACATTAGGGAAGAAACAGCCATTGATTTTTTGTTCTATTTGGCTTATCTTTTCTGCTTAAGTGCTGATATTTAAGTTGTTGGCAAAACTCTAAACAGGTCTATATTTTTATGTTTATCCTCTTCCCTCAGCTAATGAAATAAATACATTTATTGATTTCAGAATCATCATTATTAATGTAGTTAACATGCCTACTAATGTTATTTCGTGTACTTGGATTTAACCATTATTGTTTCTGAATCAACATTTTTCTTCCAGGTCAAAGGAATATAGATGCTGCAGAAGAAAATAAGAGTGGACCCCCAAAGAAGAAAGTGAAGGAACTAAGAATTTTGGATCCCAAAACAGCCCAGAACCTGTGTATGTAATATTTTGGATAGATGTGGTAGTGATGGCTTATTCACTGTAAACAATCTTATAACTTCTTTAGCCAGATACACTTCTAGAGACAAGGTTCTATATGGACCTCCTACTGGATCACTTTGTCCAGCTTTCATACTAGGAAAGGTGCCCAGTTTTATTTGTACTTGATATGGATGTTTAATTGATAGTAGTGTGGAACTGGGGAGAGGGGAGATATTGCTGCATGGCTGTCAGGAGGTCAGAGAGGGAGATTTATCATAGTTTTATGGGTTTTAGTATATGACTCATCCTTTTTATTGCTTTTGCCTTCAAGGCAAAGCAACAAAACATCATGGTGAATCAAAACTACTCACTTTATAGTGGTCAAGATACAGAGATTAAGGGAGGGAAAGTTTGGAACAGTATATATAACTCAGATCATGTCTCCACTAAGTAATCCTGACTAATAGTATGTATGTGTGTGTGTATATATATATTATATATATAATTGAATCCTATCTAATAGTATATTCAACAGTATATTAATAGTATCAATAGTATATTCGACTTAAAGTCCACAATTGACCAGTCAAATCTCTTGTGGACAAATCACTTTTCTGAAATTTCCACTGGAGAGGAAGCAGTTAGCCTTTTAGTTTTTGGAGACGCATATCATATCTTAGGCATAACAGCCACAAGATGATTAAGAGACAAGTAGCATGTGTTTGTCAGATTACTGTTTGATAAAATATAGGAGATGGGATGAGATGGCATACAATTTCATGGTGCTACTCAAAATAACAAAATGTAAAATTCACTAATTCTGTCTTCAACTTCCTACTGAACAAATTTAGACTAAGATTGGAAAGGGAGTGGCGTTTACCTTATTGTCATTCCTTAGAAATTGTGTTGTATATATCTAAATATTTTGACATCAAAATCTAGATTGACTTCAAAAAGTCAGTTCCTCCACCTGGGTTAAGTCCTTTTCCCACTTTCAGCCCCCTCCCAAACAGATCAAGTCACATAACTGTTACCCACATTCAGAGGGCCTAGCTTGGTACCATGCAGGTTCCCAGCTTTCAGTCTAAAGTCCTTGAGCTCCCACTAGCTTGGGTCTACTGACTCTGTGGTTTTCTCAATCTTGATGTTGGTGGGATACCTTGCTCAGACTTGATATAGTGTGGAGGGGCTTTGTCCTGCCTCAACTTTATTTGTCAGACTTTGTTGACAATGGAGGCCTTATCCCCTCGGAGGAGTGGATAATTTTAAATTTTGGCGGATCATATTGTATCAACTTAATATAAAATGTCTGAGCATAGTATTTTAAGAGATCTAAGTGGAAAATTTATTTGGACATATGTATATTTGACCTATAGTTTATTTTGCCTATATGGATAGAATGGTGCCTATAATTCCAAAATTTAGTATAGTAGTGACAAATATCTCACATTTTCATCTATACAGTGGTTATTATATATATATACACATATATGTACACACACATATATATGTATATATATATGCATATAACATATAAATATGAAGTTTTACATTTTGATACTATTCTCTCTAATAGTATCTAATTTTATTTTAGCTATCTTCCTGGGATCTCATCGCATGTCATATGAGGAAATAAAGAACATAATTTTGGAGGTTAATGAAAACTTGCTAAATGAGGCCCTAATTCAGGTATGATGCATACATTTAATTTTAAAATAATTTTCATAGACATTTTAGATGAATCTCTTAATGGTTTTATGAAAACACTATTAATTTGGAGAAGTTGTATCTATATCTGCTTATTCCTGATATGACTCATTCTTTAAGATCCAGATTCCAGTTTTCTTTCCGCCATGCCTGAAATACTGTGCTTTTAAGTATAAACATGCATTTATAGTTGTGTCGTTCTTTGTACATCACAAAATCGCATATATTTGATCATCATAATAGGCCCATTAAATAGTTCTTTTATTGCCATATTATGGATGAAAAAACTGAGTGTTCTAAAGTTTTAATTTCTATGGATCTTTTCTCAGGATCCACAGGTAAATGTGGCAGACTATTTTTCAGTTGGGTACTTAACCAGTGCTGGATATTATGTCAAGCAATGTGTATTCACGATCTCACTGAATCTTAAAATACCTCATGATGAAAGTATTAGTGATAGTGTACTCCCTTTACCAAATTAGAATCTGAAATTTATGTTATTCATTATAACCATTTGAAGTAGTAAATGTAAGCTGCAGAACAATGTTTAAAGAGGATGCAAATGTAGCTCAGTTGGCAGGATGTTTCCCTTCTTTACATGCTGCTCTGACCTCCATTCCCAGCATTGTGTAAATACAAGGTTAATCACTCCTGTAATCTCAGCACTTAAGAGGAGACAAGAAGAGTAGAAGTTCAGGGCCATTCTTTACTACATATCCAGGTCAAGGATAGCATAGTATACATGTGTGAGGGCCAGTCTGTAAAAGGCAACAGGTACCAAGTCATTTATTCTATGTAGCTTTAACAACTGATTTCCCCCATACTCTCTGTAAATATTAGAAAGGCTGTATTAGTGACATAAGCAAGTCATGTTTCTGTGGATGGTTTATGTCTGCATCACAGTTTATATCATGTATATTTTTACATCATGTATATTATTTACAATAAGATTAAGGCTTGATGGGTTTATGCTGACTTTTTGTTATCTTAGTACACATGTATGTATCAATATAACATTTTTGCAAAAATCCTCATGTAGGAAAATAATTAACAAGGCTTGCTTTATTATTTTTAAAGTCATACAGGCAACAAACATGTTCATTGTTCTTAAGTTGAAATGTGGAACTTATTCCTTTCAGACACATACACACACACACACACACACACACACACACACACACACTCAGAGAGAGACAGAGAGAAAGAGACAGAGAATGTGTTAATAATAATTTAACAAATATGTTATTGAAAAGTAAGCTACAGAGTAGATGAAACACAGAAGGAAAATATTTAAAGAGAAGCATGTATAGAGGTCTCAAGCTCAAGAAATGATGAGACTGATCAAGGTCAACCTACAAACAGTGAGTAGGAAACGTCTAAAGCATCTAGTTGCCAAGCTGGACAGCTGGACTTAGATTTGATTGTCTGTCACACCCCCAGAGTGCAAAGTAAGATCTATTGTAGCAGTTTTAAATACAGCTGCATTTAATGTAGACCAGATCAAATTAGGGATTTTTAGTAAACATCTATATAGGCTGCTACTATATCAGAACTGTAAGCAGTACATTCCACCCAATTAGTTCAGATTCAAATAATTTAAAGAAAATCAAAGTATACATACTATAAAATAATATTTTAAAATTATACTGACTGGAAATTCAACAGTTTGATGCTTCATATTTGCAATAGTTTTTTTTTCATTTGCCAAGGTGTTTAGAGGAAAATGTATAATGTATTTAAAAAGTATTAAACATTGATTGACTCTCCAAACTATGATCCTATACTCTTATAATATTATTACATAGGAAAGATTAAAAAGCTTTCATTCTCTCAACTCCTAACCCATTTCTAGAGTCTCAGTGTTATGGATTTTCATGGCTTCTGATTGATAAAAGTTTGTAGAAAAGCCAGCTTTCACATTGTGCTCTGGAGAAACTTGTTTCATTGCCTATCTTAGACAATCCAAATTGATTCTCTCATTTGTACTTAACAAAATAAACAAACATGTATTTAAGATGCATGATTAAGTGAGACATGAATAGAAGACAGCCTGAAATTTTAAGGTTAATGTTAGTTTTACCTGGATGTGACATATGTCTGAAGCTATTCTGGATGCTCCTCAGGAAAATGATTGTACTCTTCCTGCTCCCCCAAAACATTGTTTTCCTCATGCAGAAAAGACTAGCATCACTAGATGCTAGTGACCTCAAGCCAAACTAGATATGTTTGCTTCAATGATGCAAAAGAACCCTCTATTTACCATTTATGTGGAGTTTACCATTTATGTCTAATTACCATGTATCACATTGATAATACACAGTGTTAAATATCTATCATCAGATTGACTTTGTTCTACGTTCTATTTTATGACAGTGGTAAACTCTATCCATGTATAATCACAGTTTGTTGCTCATGAACATGGTTTTCTTCTCATAGCAACAACAATAACAACATCAATAACGACAACAACAACAAAACAATAAAGGACACTTCATTTCTGAAAAATCTGATTAGCACTGGTGTTACATCTCCTAGAAGGATTGGTCAACAAACTCTTTCTACACAACTGTACTTATTCGGCAGGATGAATGGCCTACTTTTAAGAAAACCAAAAAATTATTTTATTTAGTCAATATGATAAAGATTATATGTTAAAGTTATTAACAAAATACTAATTCCCCCATATTCCATATGCTACATATATTTCCAGATATCAAATTTTAAGCTACACATTGAATTCACTGTGCATTGGAAACTGAATTGTTTTACAATGATAATAAACATTTCAGCTTATACTGTGTTTTCAGATTGTTCAGTAACATTTAATATTTATAATTATAAGTCTTTTTGAGTAATGTTTAATAGCTTTAGATGATGTGTACTATCACTTTTTCTGTTTATTGACATTCTAGTTTATTGTAATTTAGCTTGATCATCTGAGACAATAAAAAAAGAAAACACACATACACACAAGAGTATAGATTAATAGAATGTATGTCATTAACAATAATGTGTGCATGTTAGACAAAGATACAGAACTGACAAAGAATGAAATTAGCAGTTTAAAAAATTTTACACTTTTAGAGAAAAATTAAAGTATGCTTTGTTTAAGATCATTAACGCTTGTAAATAATTCTTAAACGCTATAAAATATATTGATAGAGAAATTATGCTTTATTGCCAGGCATGTATGAAATTAATAATATTTACATAGAAGGTAGAATATAGTGCAGAAAAGTTTTCAAAGAGACGTTACTTCTGGGCAATTGGAAAGTGTTCAGCAGGTTTTGAACATGGAAGTGTAAAATAGTTCATTTTCTAATATGGTTCTAATTCATATTTTGCATTTCATTTAATTAAAAATGTAGACAGAAGACCAAAATAGTAATAACAGTACTTAAAACTTACAATAATAGAAGTAATAAACGTGTTTTTTTTTCACATTCCAGTTGTGGAAGATATCAAGAAGCATTGTTTATGCTCATTATTTTAAAATTAAAGTACTCATTAGATCTTCATTAGAGTTTCCTTTTTAATGCTTTAATCAATAAGCACATGTAGTATTATTCACAACATGCATTAGTAAATATGTTGACAACTATTTCAATACAGTTGGTTTCATTTATAATGATATATATTTGATTGTATTTTGAGAAGTGATCCCCAAAAAAGAAGTTCATGAGCCAACCAAGAAGGCTAGAAACTGATAGTGATGCTCCAAAGGATGCTGTGGTTAAGATAGTTTTTTGGAACAAAAATGAATGAATAGTGGGCATTTACTTGAGGAATATAAAAAATAGTACCTTGTATTTCTGAATTAACAGGGGGTAGTGATGAACAACCATATGTGAGATGATTTATGAACTCGTTGGGCTCCTGGCTCTCCCTTCTCCATTTTCTATGTTTCTCTCTATTTCTCAGATATGCTTTATTTGAACTTTTAGTTGCCTAAGTGCTAGGAATTTAATGTCATGTATGTGTTATGGGCCTAAAAGTTCCCTATCTCACATACCTATTTTGACATATTCCTAGATCCTGTGTACATTAGACTTTTTGATTCATAGTAGAATAGCTCAATATCAGACTATTGAATTTGAGAAACATTCAATTTTATGTTTAGGAAAATTAATGCAGCTATAGTATATATCAAGTTGTTTACTGTTAATAGATTAAACAGGCAAACACAAATTACTTTTCAAAGTATAAAATACATAATGCCCTGAACTATTCAGGCATCATTTTTGTAGATAACTTACTTTTCAAGTATATGTTCATTGAAAATTTTTGGTTATTAGATATTTGTACTACCTAGGGATAAAAAAAAAAAAAACAAGATAAACTAGGTAGAACAATTCAGGACATATTAATAAAAAAAAAAACTACAGACAATAACTTCAGTAAAAATAAGTTTCAGTGGTAGAATTGATGTCAGTACAGAAAAGCACTGATTCTTTAAATATGAGAACTATTGAAATTCTTGAGGTTTCTAGTGAAAGAAAGGTGAAAAATAAAAGATCAAGGAATTCATTTTTGTAGACCACATATGGTCAGTCAATGCACGGCGATAGTGAAAGCAGAATATACACATCATGCCAGGATAGATTATGCTGCAGATACCATAGAGCTGTGAGGAGTGATGAAGTGGCATATCAGGGAGAGAAATACCTTTTGCATTTATTTTTATCTGAATCATAGAAACATAAAATAGTTCATATTAATAGATTGGCATGCAATTTTTGCCACGTATCTATCCATCTATCTATCTATCTATCTATCTATCTATCTATCTATCTAGTTAAATCAGACTAAACATATCTCTTTAACAGTTTTTCATGTGATTATAATTAAAACTTCCAAAATCTTTCCTTGTCATGTTTAACAATACATTAGTGTTGCCTGTAGTCACCCTCCTGCATAGATCTTCTTTTCGTATTTCCAGTTGTAATTACATCTAGTAGTCTTTATTTTGTAGTTCTCCATTA